CCTTGCCGTTAACGCCAGCCATTTGTGCTGCCCTCTGTTGGCGGACGCGACGAGGGCTCCATTTTCTTTGCGTTTTTTTCCCGTTTTCTTTGTCGCATTTTGAACGTCAACTGCTCTGTTTCTGGTTTGGTATTTTTTTTTTTTTTTTTTTTATTTTCGTTGTTTCTATTTTTTCGATATTTCATTTTCTGTTTGCTTTGTTTTTATTCTTATATATATATATATTTTTTGTGTTTAACCGATGTTTCTATTCCATTTATTATCCTTCCTTTCACCCTTCTCTCCCATTTTCTATCTTCTCTGTATCTCTCATTTTTTCGCTCTTTGTCTGTCTGTCTCTGCCACTCCCCCCTCTCTCTCTCTTTCTCTCCCCTTCTTTCTCTCTTTCCCCTCTCTCTGTCTGTCTACCAGTCTCTCTCTCTCTCTCTCTCTCTCTCTCTCTCTCTCTCTCTCTCTCTCTCTCTCTCTCTCTCTCTCTCTCTCTCTCTCTCTCTCTCTCTCTCTCTCCTTATCTCATTCTTTCTTTCCCCCACTCTCTCTGTCCTCCCTTCTCTCTCTTTTCGTCATTTTACTTCTCCCTTTTATCTTGCATTACTATTACTACTTTTATTGTTATTAAGATCATAGTTATTATCATTATAATTTTTATAATTATCATCATTATTATTCCAGTTAGTATTATCATCATCATTATCATTATTTCATCCCATAATCTTCATCTTCATCTTCATCTTCATCATCATCATCGTCACTATTACTTTTGTTAATTTCAATGTTATAGCAGTTGTTTTGTTGTTAAAGTTGGTATTGTTGAATATGGCATTGCTGTTGATATCATGACTGTAATCATTATTATTGTTAGTGATGTTGTTGATTATTATCATTGTATTTTTTTTTTCTTTTTCGTTATAATTATTTATCTTTTTTTTTTGTGTCTCTTCCTCGGTCATTGTCTCCCTTTCTCATCCTGTCTGTCTCGTTTATTGCCTCTGTCTTCTGTTCCTCTTTCTGTCTCTCCTTCTCCTTCTGTTTTTCTCTCTATGTCTGTCATTCCGTCCGTCCGTCTGTATGTCAATTTTCATATTTCCTTTTCTCACTCTACCTGTTTATTGTTCATTATCATTTTCGATTTTCATTATTTTTATCTATCTCTTGAAAGTGCAACAATTCGTTATTCTAATTCAAAAAGCAAAAATGAATAAATAATAATAAATAAATGTACACAGTTGATTAAACAACTAACAGCTGAAGCCTCAAAGATTGATTCATTTACCAGACCGTTGCATTTAAATGTATTTATATGAAATCAGCTGTTGTTTGATCAGCTGAGCTTTGATGCAGTTTCAGCAATGGCGTGTGATTTTAAGTGGAATTTCCTCCTGTTTCATTTGCTTCACAGGATGAAGCTTTTGTTCAAGGCTTGGGATATTTTTCTTTATATATGATAATTTTGCGTTGTGTTAACAGGGTTTTTGTCATGAAACGGATACAAAAGCATTTACGTTCATGTATGTGTATGTATGCGTATATATACCACACACACACACACACACAAATATATATATATATATATATATATATATATATAATATATATATATATATATATATATTATATATGTGTGTGTGTGTGTGTGTGTGTGTGTGTGTGTGTGTGTGTGTGTGTGTGTGTGTGTGTGTGTGTGTGTGTGTGTGTGTGTGTGTGTGTGTGGTATGTGTGTATGCATACATATATATATATATATATATATATATTATATATATATATATATATATATATATATTATATATATATATATAATATATATATATATATATATATATATATATAATATATTATATCATATATATATATATAGATAGATAGATAGATAGATAGATAGATATATGATAGATAGATAGATAGATAGATAGATAGACAGAATGAGATAGATAGATAGATAGATAGCAGACATGCAGATAGATAGACAGATAGATAGACAGATAGACAGACAAATAGATAGACAGATGGAGAGATAATGACCTGTAGGAGAGGTCGCCGCGAGAGCGAGGACGACCCGAAGCCCGAAAAGGAAACCGATTCCTTTAGTCGGGTCTTGAAGTCGGAAGTTGCCGGTTCGGTAATATTTAAGGTGAATTTAATTTGCTTATGTTTTTTTTTGTATTTTATCTATTTATTTGTTTTATTTATTATGTATTTATTTATTTATCTATTTATTTATTTATTTATTTATTTATCTATTTATTTTTCTATTTGTTTATATTTTTTCTATATTAACGTATGTCAAGTTTGTATGAGGAATCTCTTCTCTTTCTGCTTCTGTCTTTTGTCTGTCTGTCTGCTTTTTTCTTGTTTGTTTGTCTGTTTTCTCTCTTTCTCTCAAACACTTTCTCTTTTATCCCCTTCTCTCTCTTCTCTCTGTCTCTCAGTCTCTTCTTTCTCTCAAACTCTCTTGTCTTGCCTCTCTTTCTCTCTTTCAAACTCTTTCGCTCTTTCTTTCAATCTCGCATGTCAAACTTTCCTCTCTCTCTCTCTCTCTCTCTCTCTCTCTCTCTCTCTCTCTCTCTCTCTCTCTCTCTCTCTCTCTCTCTCTCTCTCTTCTCTCTTCTCTCCCCTCTTCTCTCTCTTCTCTTCTCACTCTCTC